ATCCTGCCATCCTGCTGACCTACCATCCTGCTGACCTACCATCCTGCCATCCTGCTGACCTACCATCCTGCCTTCTGTTGCCCTCTCCACGCCCCAGCCCTCTCCACGCCCCAGCCCTCTCCCGCCCCAGCCCCAGACCCCAGACTAAGGGCTACACAGACTAAATTAGAGCCTCAGAGCAGAGTTGTCATTGTGGCAAACTTGTCGACTGAGACCCCTTTGTGCAGCCACCCCCTTGTTAATGGTCCGGCTAATGGTTAAGGTTGTTATGGTTGTTAGGGGTTGTTATGGTTGTTATGGCTGTTAAGGGTTGTTAGGGGTTGTTATGGTTGTTAAGGGTTGTTAGGGGTTGCTATAATTGCTATAAAAGTTAATGGTGGAGCTAATTGTTATGGTTGTTATGGTTATAATGGTTGTTTAGGCGGTGTGGTGATATGGGTGTCTCGGGGTGGTGATGTGGGCGGCGTGGTGATATGGGCGGCTTAGTGATTTGGACAGCATGTTGGGTGTGGGTGGCTTTTAGGTTAGGTGAATGTGTGGGCGGTGGATGGGCGGCATGAAAATGTGGGCGGCGGGTGGGCGGTGAGGAGGCCGCCCCCCGGTGAGGTGGTCGTGTTGACAGGCGGCAACAGCGGGGTGGCGGCAGTCCAGAGACCATGGGGGCGCACGTCTGTCTCCCCCCATGCCACCTCCCAGCCTCCCACCGTGCCACCCCCTGCCCTGCCACTCATCTGTGCCACCCCTCCTGCCCTGCCGCCCACCCGTGCCACCCATCCTGCCCTGCCGCCTACCGTGCCACCCATCCTGCCCTGCCACTCATCTGTGCCATCCCTCCTGTAATGACACTTATCTGTGCCACCCATCCTGCCCTGTCGCCCACCCGTGCCACCCATCTGCCCCTGCCACTCATCTGTGCCACCCCTCCTGTAATGCCACCCATCTGTGCCACCCATCCTGCTGCCGCCCACCGTGCCACCCATCCTGCCGCCCACCGTGCCACCCATCCTGCCATGCCACTCATCTGTGCCACCATCCTGCCCTGCCGCCCACCCGTGCCACCATCCTGCCCTGCCACTCATCTGTGCCACCCCTCCTGTAATGCCACCCATCTGTGCCACCATCTACGCCACCCCTACTGACATATCAACCAAGGGAGGAGGAGTGGGTGGAAGAAGAGTAAGGAAGGGAGGGAGGAGGAAGGGGAGCAGGGAGGAAAGGGAAAGGGGGCGGGGAGGAAGGAAGGGGAGAAGGGGCAGTAAAGCTGAAAGTATGGCCAAGCGTTACAGGGCGTCGTCATCGTCGTCATCATCGTCATCGTCATTATCGTCACACAGAACACTCTTGTTAATGGGCGATAGGTTGCTTGGAGGGTGGGTAGGGTTAAGATGTTGTAGGGGAGAAAGGGGTTGGTTAAGAGAGAGAGAGAGAGATCATCCTCGACCAGAAATGAAAGGGTGTAAGGGAGGAGAGGGGAGCAGATGACCTCAGAGTTCAACATCGTGCGCACCCCGACCGTCACTTGTCCACAACCATAGCCGCCATCTTCCTTTGTCAATGTTTTCTTGTGTTGTTGAGGTCGTTGTGGGTCCTATCTTCCCTTCAACACTTTTATTGATGTTTTATGGTTCACTATTCTGGTATAATGGTCGATAAGTTAACAGGTACTATTCCTTCCCTGTACCGTCACCGAGGAGAATAAAGCTTCCAACTAGATGGTTCACTGAGCACGAGACGGTGTTGAGACTCGGGTTCATGGCTTCGAAACAGGTGGGTCGGGATGGTGTCTGTACAGTATAATGGTTTATGGATACGAAACAGGTGGATCAGGATGGTGTCTATACCTGTGTTCACGGCTTCGACATCAATGAACCGAGATGGCATCGGTACCCGGGTTTGCGGTTCCGAAACAAGTGGTGTTGGTATCAGGGTTCAAGGGTTCGAGACCAGGAGATCAGTCACTTTAAGTCAGATATGGTTGAGTCAAGAGATTTAAAGAGACGCCTGAAAACATTTATGAATGATTATAATGTTAAACAAACAAACAATATAAACGTTTTAATTATTGATTTACATAAACAACCTTTAATAAATCATTTCTTGGTTCTCGAGGTGGGGGAGCAGAGTACCTGTAGTGTGTTGGCATAGGATGTAGGCACCATTAGCAGTGGGCGTGTGGGCGCTGGTCGAGTGTGGACACCGTCAGCAAGTGGGTGTGTAGGTGGAAGTAGTGATGTGGGGGCTATCAGCGTTGGGGCTTAGAGATGTGGGCGCCGTCAGCGGGTGGGCGTGGGGGGTGGAGGGATTGAGGACGTCGTCAGCGGGTGGGCGTGGGCGTGACGAGGCGAGGGGCCCCACGTCGCCAGTGTCGTTTATCATGTGTCTGTGGGCGGAGGGGAGGGCAGAAGCCACGGGGGGCGGCGTGTCCTGCCCCCTCCCCCTCCCCTCCTCCTCCTCCCCTCCCCCTCCCTCCTCCTCCACGCCATCCAACCTCAGCCCTGGATGACCCAATCCCTCACGTGTGTGTATCATAATCATATTCATTGGGTTAAATCACCGTACTCAAGGGGTTAAATTATCGTACTCAAGGGGTTAAATAATCGTACTCAAAGGGTCATCTTAATCAATGGACTAGTTAACTGTACTCAACTTCACAATAAAGGGGTTAAGCCTCACCTGTCATATACCTGGACGACAACCAATCACAGGCTGGGAACACTGCACTTGCGTCTAAACATTAAACCTTCACATATAAACACTGATTCATCGCTCCTGGCCAATGACTACATCTCTGGTAGTTATGAAGGGTTATGATTGGTGGGGATTAAACACTCCTGGCTTATTAGTGATGGTCAGGACAATACCAATAAAACGAAAATCGGAACAAACGTAAATATTAAAATGAATGAACATATTCGACCTTTGACCTGTAGGAACTAAATCAAGGTGTAGTAGGCCTAGCTTCAGTAAATCTTATAGACCTAGTTATAGAGGTCTACAGGTGGAGTTATTAATCGTATGGTTCTTCATTCAAGGTGTTTATTATTGTCTATTGGCTATTATTCCCTTCTACGTGTCCTGGGGACGTTCAACACTGGCACGCTGCTGAATGTTGTTGAAAGTGTTCGTCATTCTCTTCCTCCTCTCCACATTCTCTCTCTTTCCTTCTCATTCTCTTCACATTGTCATCCTCTCCACACTCTTCTCTGTTTCTGTGACCCTCTCATACCCGTGACCCCACCCCTCTCTCCTGTGACCCACTCATACCCTGACCCCGCCCCTCTCTCCTTCCCTCCCTTACCCGTGACCCCCCCCCCTCTCTCCTGTACCCCTCATACCCGTGACCCCCGCCCCCTCTCTCCTGTGACCCACTCATACCCGTGACCCCCCGCCCCTCTCCTGTGACCCACTCATACCCGTGACCCCGCCCCCCTCTCCTGTGACCCACTCATACCGTGACCCCCGCCCCTCTCCTGTGACCCACTCATACCGTGACCCCTCCCCCTCTCCTGTGACACACTCATACTCGTGACCCCTGCCCCTCTCCTGTGACCCACTCATACCCGTGACCCCCCCCCTCTCCTGTGACCCACCTGCACCGTGACCCCTGCCCCCTCTCCTGTGACCCACTCATACCCGTGACCCCCGCCCCCTCCTGTGACCCACTCCACCCGTGACCCCCGCCCCTCTCTCCTGTGACCCACCATACCCGTGACCCCTGCCCACTCTCCCAGACCCACTCTTACCCGTGACCCCTGCCCCTCTCCTGTGACCCACTCATACCCGTGACCCCGCCCCTCTTCTGTGACCCACTCATACCCGTGACCCCTGCCCTCTCCCTGACCCACTCATACCTGACCCTGCCCCCCTCTCCTGTGACCCACCCATACCCGTGACCCCGCCCCCTCTCCTGTGACCCACTCATACCTGTGACCCCCTGGCCCTGTCTCCTGTGACCCACTCCATACCCGTGACCCCTGCTCTCCTGTGACCCACTCATACCTGCGACTCTGCCCCTCTCCCAGACCCACTCCATACCCGTGACCCCTGCCCTCTCCCCTGACCTCAACCTGTAATGCTCCCTATCCCTGTGACCCTCCTGCTGCCCCTCCCTGCCCCCTTGACCCTCCTGCCCCCCTTTGACCCTCCTGCCCCCCCTTTGACCCTCCTGCCCCTTTGACCCTCCTCCTCCTGCCCCTCCTGTGACCCTCTCCCAGTGACCCTCCCATGACCCCCTCCGTGCCCCTGTGACCTGAGAGAGCTGATTTCTTAACTGCTGAGTCATTTCTCGCTGCTCTTATCTCCCCTAAATAATGATGCTGGCCAGTTTTATCTTGTGTCCAGGGAGAGTCTTGGTGGTGATGCTTGTGGTAGTGATTGTGGTGTGGTGTGTGGTGATGCTTGTTGTGGTGGTGTGGTATGGTGTGTGGTGATGCTTGTTGTGGTGGTGTGGTGTGGTGGTGATGCTTGTTGTGGTGGTGTGGTGTGGTGATGCTTGTTGTGGTGGTGTGGTGTGGTGTGTGGTGATGCTTGTTGTGGTGTTATATGATGTGGTAACGAGAGAGAAAGAGAGAGACACAATTACCACAAAATACGAATGATGAACATAATGCAACAAGACGATAAACATGTAATAGAGATAAGAGAACAAATAGTGAACAGGAGAGACAGAGACAGAGATAAAGAGAGAGACATTGTCAAACACAGAACAGTCAGTAACTATAAACAGGAGAGAGAGAGAGAGAGAGAGAGAGAGAGAGAGGCCTCACCTTCTTGACATGAGTGACTGTTGTATCTCTAACTCTTACTTCGTGAGGGTACTCTATGGCCTCTTGAGGGTACTGTATGGCCTCGTGAGGGTACTGTATGGCCTCTTGAGGGTACCTGTATGGCCTCGTGAGGGTACTGTATGGCCTCTGAGGGTACTGTATGGCCTCTTGAGGGTACTGTATGGCCTGTAGATGACTGGGTAGCCTCTTGAGGGAATTGGAGGGCCTCTTCAGATGACTAACTCTGACCTGGACCACAGCACCTGGACCACAGCACGGACCACAACACCTGGACCACAACACCTGGACCACAGCACCTGGACCACAGCACCTGACCACAACACCTGGACCACAACACCTGGACCACAGCACCTGGACCACAACACCTGGACCACAGCACCTGGACCACAACACCTGGACCGTCCCACACATTATTCTGCATCTGGGGATGATGCGGAATGTGCTGTCTCATTCCTGTCCAAGTCTCGCCCGGTCCACCCCGAGCCTGGTCCATCTCTGGTCTGGTCCGCTCCGAGCCTGATCCATTTCCTGGTCCATTTCTGGTCCACTTTATGAAGTATGATGATGATGGTAGCGGTGACAAGGCTAGGAATTACGTGCCTCATTGCGGATGAATGAACACACACACACACACACACACACACACACACACACACACCTACTCATCCACACCGTCATAATAGACCAGATAAATGACTAATTCCTCTTAAGGCTGATAAACTCTAGGTATGTTTTTCCTGCTGAGAGATTCAACAGAGAGTTTAGACCAGTCAGACTCAACAGAGAGTTTAGACCAGCCAGCCAAATATGACGAAGGGTAAACGGACATCAGCTGGTCGAAGTAAACACAACATTAGTGCCGTGTCGATGCGTCTTGATTGCTAGGCGTCGCGGTAGTGTCAGGGCGTGTGTGTGTTGGGAGGAGACACTGGCTTGGTATCACGTATTTCTGTCAGCTTAAGTGACCATGGCTTTTGCTTGGCTTGACCTCTCTTGCTGTGAGTCTAAGGTCTCCTGTTGTGATGGCCGCTGGGGCGTGTTATGTATTCCTTGTAAAAATAGTGTTTGGGTCATAAGAGCTTACACAAGAATTTATGACAATCAACACCATGGAAGTTTCGATTGTTCGTACGTACATAAAACGATCTTGTACAGAAGTTAGAGTATTCAGACAACAATTGATAACTCGACCTGTAGACCTACAATATATAACTAGGACTATAAGATTCATTGAAAGTAGGCCTACTACACCTTATTTTAGTTCCTACCGGACAAAGGCTTTATATGATACACAGATTTTGACCATCCCCTTCCTCCCCTCCCTTCACATCGATACACAGACACGCTTTACAGGTGACATAGGTCTTGTGTTGTTGTTTTGGGATAGTGAAGGATGGTGATGGTGTATCTCTGGGTGTAGTGACGGTCTGTTTCTGGGTCGCGGTGTGGTGAACGGTGGTGTGGTGTTTTGGTACTGGTGATGGTGAAGATGATGATGGTAGTGGTGGTGATAGTGGTGATAGTGGTGGTGGTGGTAGTAGTAGTGCAGATTGTCTTCCAAATCAGTGTTGTGACGGCAGGTAAGGTTCATTTAACCAGTGACGGTCGCTAAGGTCCGTCATGGCAACTTGTCAGGGATCCATTATGGCGTCTTGTAGAGTTTCTTCTTAGTACCTTGTATGGATCCTGTACGGAATCCTGCAGGAGTCTCTGGAGTATGCTTGGGGCACTGCCAGCTGTGTTCTCCTCCACGATGACAGCGAGACGTTCTCTCATGGGTGTTACCAGTCCTCCCCCACACCAGGACTGCCGGATTGGGCTCCCCCTCCTGCTAGTGGATCCCGGGGAGCACTCCAGGGCCTCACGCACTCCTGGGGGCTTGGGAGGGGTCCGGCGCCCGCAGGTCAACTCGGCGGGGATCGTGGAGACGGCGGGCCCTCAATCAAAGGGTGTGACGCCTGCACAATGGTAGCTATTGCTCATTCTGCGGCTGTGGCGGTGTGACGGCGCCCCTACCGAACACGGCCCCTCCCGCCGGGCCCTCCTCACGACGCAGCCCCGCTCACAACACTTACTCATAACTACAAGTCTCTACTCACAACACAAGCTCATAGCTTTAACCTCTGTTCGCCAATCATAACATTTACTCATAACCCCACAATACTCACTCACTCACTCACAGATCCAGCAGCGACTCACTAACTCATAACCCATCAAGATAATGTACTCATATGATTGATCCACAACAACAACAGCACAAGACTTCTCTGTTCTATCAATCTCTGTCTGTCTGTCTGTCTGTTTAGAGTATTCCCTGCCCTCATCAATGTGTTAGAACAAGAGCCATCATCACCTTCCTGGGAGCCTCAGGTTGACCGGGAGTGTGTTGCTTTCCTCCTCCTCCCGCCGCCGCTCTCTACAACAGCGGAGGAATACGAGGAACCTGCTGCATGTGACCAAACACCTGAAGCTTTAACTGTAAGGCTCCAAAATCGAGGCTTCTTCAAGAAAAACATCAAGGCTTCAACAGCAAAAAAACAACACCAAAGGATTCAACTACACTAACAATAACATCACTTCCTCCTGTCAATCTTAGTTCTGGAGAAACACAGCTGATGTCCTGTCACGCCACCTCTCCCAACCCCTTCCCTTCTCAACCCCCCTGAAGCTTGCTGAGGAACGTGTCATGGTAGCAACAGGAGGAAACACCACCAAAGGGCCTCATTGACTTTAACAGCGAAGGGAGGAGCCGGAGGGTGTCAAGGCCCGCCACAACACCTCACACAAGAGCTGCCTGTTAGGGGTGTCTCTCCAGTAGTTATGTGACAGGTGGAGGCGATGGATGTTCCCACATGAGCCTCCTACAGACGGGTTCTGGTTCATCTTTCACTCTTGTATGATATTCCTCCGTCTTCCCTCCCTCCCACATTCATTCTCTCCCACATGTCTAAATCCCTCCCTCCTTCACCCTCACTGTTACTCGGATTATATTAAACTACATTCACCCTCCCACAGCCTCCTCCCTCACTCCCACCACACCTCTCCCATCCATCCACCACCCATGATAGCTTCTCTACTACAATTCTACCATCACCACCACCATCACCACAATTCCACCCCCACAACAGCTGGTCACCACAACTATACCACACTCCACCCCCTCCCTGCTGGCGGGAACACCTCGCCAACAGTGCTCAGGCTCATGTGAATGTTGCCAGACACACATAAAAACGTCCATTGCATCACAAGCCGCTGTAAATGATGAACGTAACACATCTTTACGACCCACACGTAATATATTACCTTTTTTAACCCGCCATTGGGAGTCGCAGGTGCGTCCATTGTAAATCATATTATTACATCCCTATTACAAAAATCTTCAACCCCAGATGGTGGTAGGAGTCTCACAGCTTAAGACTCTCACCCTAAGATTCTAGCTAATCGTCTTGGAGTCTTTGTTGAGTCTTTTTGATCGCTGTTTCTTGTTCAGTTTTGGTTGACAGGTAAAGAAGTAATTAACAGAAGGCTCAAGACATTTTACCTTACCTCGTGGGTGTTGTTTACGTCTTTGTTTGTTTGTCATTGTTTATCATTATTGTTTATATTATTAATTCATCGTTATCAAGGTGTTAATTCAACGTCATCAAAGGGTTAAATCACCGTCATCAAAGTTAAATCACCGTCATAAAGGTTCGTCACACCGTCATCAAAGGGTTAAATCACCGTCATCAAGGGTTAAATCACCGTCATCAAAGGGTTAAATCACCGTCATCAAGGGTTAAATCATCGTCCTCAAAGTTGATCATCGTCCTCAAAGGGTTAAGTCATCGTCCTCAAAGGGTTACGTCATCGTCATCAAAGGGTTAAGTCATCGTCATCAAAGGGTTAAATACTTTACATATCTAAAGCCTTTAATATATCACAGCAGACTGGATCAAGAGGTCGACGTGGGAGAACAAGGTCACAGGTTCGAACACTTAGTCACATGAGCCGTCACATGTATAAGAGAGGGAGTTAAGAGAGATGACCTTTAACTGTTGGAGGAGGAGGTTAAAGGCTGAGGTGTAGAGGGGGAGGTTAAGGGCTGGAGGAGAAGGTTAAGGGCCGGAGGAGGAGGAGGTTAAGGGCTGGAGTAGGAGGAGGAGGAGGAGGTTAAGGGCTGGGTAGGAGGAGGAGGAGGTTAAGGGCTGGAGTAGGAGGAGGAGGAGGTTAAGGGCCGGGCTGTTGTGAACGCTTATCAGTTCATTACGATGATCAGTTATGGTGGTCAGGCCAGGGAGCCACCTCACCTATACTTCATTATCGCCTTATATATACGTCCGCACGCCCCCCCTCACCCACCGCCCCTCCACCCACGACCCACCTGTCCCTCCACCCCACAACCCACCCGTCCCTCCGCCAGCTCGCCCTATCCCGCCCAGCCACCTGCACCATCCCACCCACTTCCTTTACACCAACTCACCCCGCCCACCTGGCCGCCCATCTCTTAACGTCTCCTCTGCGCCGCCCATCTCTCAACAGTCTCTCCTCCATATCTCTCTCCCGACACCAGACTTTATTGAGCTAATGAGACCTTTCTTATAGTACGGACGTGTGGCCGGGGGTTCTTCATGGCCAGGTGGGGTCATGGGGGCGTGGAGGGGGTCATGGTGAGACGTGGAGGGGGAGGAGGACCATGGTATCACAACTGAGTAGGTACAGGCTGTGGTTGGCTACTACCTGACCTGTAAATAACCTGATTTGATTACACCTCTGATACAGCCATCACCCTGGACCACTCCCAGCGGGGGCCGCTGTAATGGATGATATTACAAAATACATGCGATTCCCCAGGCTGGAGAGGGCTATAGATCACCCGCTACCTGGGGATGGAAGACAGAGGCACAACGGGAGATGGTCCTCGATCCTAACAAAACAGTAGTGGAATCCTTTTAACCAACACCAACACTATTTAATCCTTCTTACCAACACCAGAACCAATAGTCTATGAATTTTGTGCTTCTATAAACAACACCAACACCTAAGATGATCTTCGATCCTAGAAAACAGTAGTCGAATCCTTTTAAGAAAAAACAACAGCATTCAATCCTTCTTACCGACACCAGATTCAATCGTCTATTAACGTCATGCTCTTATACACAACGCAAACATCTCAAATCCTTAATTACTATAGATATTTAAGATCTCTTCAGCGAGACTTTACGAGATAAGGTTTAATCATCCACACATCATCTGGTTCGGGATCAATTTAGCAGACAGTGTGGGGGGTCGAGCTACCGTTTTCTAATTATATTTTGATAGCGGGTAATTATCACAGGGGAGACTCGTGTGGTAGATAATACCTGCCTCACTCTAGCTACCGCATATGAGAGGGGGGGATGGGGACAGTAATGCCTGCCTCACTCTACCTACCGCATATGAGAGGGGAGGGCAGTAATGCCTGCCTCACTCTACCTACCGCATATGAGAGGGGAGGGGCACAGTAATGCCTGCCTCCACTCTACCTATCGCATGTGAGGGAGGTGGGGTACAGTAATGCATGCCTCACTCTCACCATCGCATGAGGGAGGTGTGGGGGGGTACAGGCATGCTCCCCACTCTACCTACCGTGTGAGAGGGGGTAGGGGGCATGCACCTGCCTCACTCTAGCTACCGCATGTGAGAGGAGGGGAGGGCACGCCTGCCTCACTCTACCCACCGCATGTGAGAGGGAGGGGGCACAGGCCTGCCCCACTCTACCATCGCGGAGAGGTGCGGGGGCAATGCCTGCCTCACCTCCACCACTGCATGTGAGGGAGGTGGGGGGGTACAATGCCTGCCTCACTCACCACTGCATGTGAGGGAGGTGCGGGGGGGGTATGGCCTGCCTCACTCTACCTATCGCGTGAGGGAGGTGCAAGTACAGTAATGCCTGCCTCACTCTACCTACCGCATGTGAGGGAGGTGAGTACAGTAATGCCTGCCCTGACTCACCCACCGCATGTGAGGCAAAGTGACAGTAATGCTCACCTACCGCATGTGAGGGAGGTATCGCCTGCCTCACTCTACCTATCGCATGAGGGAGGTGCGGGGGGTACAGTAATGCCTGCCCCACCTATCGCATGAGAAGGTGTGCGGGGGTACAATGCCTGCCTCACTCACCTATCGCATGTGAGAGGAAGGTGCGGAGGATAGTAATGCCTGCCTCACTCTACCCATCGCATGAGGAAGGTGCGGGGGCACAGTAATGCCTGCCTCACTCTACCCATCGCATGTGAGGAAGGTGCGGGGGTACAGTAATGCCTGCCTCACTCTACCTATCGCATGTGAGGAAGGTGCGGGGGGCACAGTAATGCCTGCCTCACTCTACCCATCGCATGTGAGGAAGGTGCGGGGGTACAGTAATGCTTGCCTCACTTCACCCTATCGCATGTGAGGAAGGTGCGGGGGGCACAGTAATGCCTGCCTCACTCTACCTATCGCATGTGAGGGAGGTGCGGGGTACAGTAATGCCTGCCTCACTCTACCTATCGCATGTGAGGGAAGGTGCGGGGTACGGCAATGCCTGCCTCCACTCTACCTATCGCATGTGAGGAAGGTGCGGGGGGTACAGTAATGCCTGCCTCACTCTACCTACCGCATGTGAGGGGGTGCGGGGGGGAGGGTACAGTACCTGCCCCACTCTACCTACCGCATGTGAGGAAGGTGCGGGGGGGGTACAGTGCCTGCCCCACTCTACCTACTGCATGTGAGGGAGGTGCGGGGGCAGTAATGCCTGCCTCACTCTACCTCACCGCATGTGAGGGAGGTGCGGGGGTACAGTAATGCCTGCCTCACTCTACCTACCGCATGTGAGGGAGGTGCAGGGGGGCATGGTAATGCCTGCCTCCACTCTACCTACCGCATGTGAGGGAGGTGCGGGGCACAGTAATGCCTGCCTCACTCTACCTACCGCATGTGAGGGAGGTGCGGGGGGCAGTAATGCCTGCGCCTCACTCTACCTATCAGCATGTGAGGGGGTGCGGGGGCACAGTAATGCCTGCCTCACTCTACCTACCGCATGTGAGGGAGGTGCGGGGGGTAATGCCTGCCTCACTCTACCTACCGCATGTGAGGAGGTGCGGGGGACAGTGTTATTATAGACGAGTGTTGGTGGAGAAAGGAAGATGTTTGGAGGTGTTTTAGGGCATGAGGATGGGTGTGGCGTTGAGCGGCACTGAACGGAGCGTTGAAGGAGGATTCTAAAAGAGGGCTGTAAGAACCCCACTACTATCTCTCACACCTCCTGTCACTGCCTCCTCACCATTATCTCTCACACCCCTCCAGCCCTCCTCACCATTATCTCTCACACCTCCAGTCACTGCCCTCACCATTATCTCCCACCCTCCTGCCTGTCTCTCACCCCCTCCAGTCACTGCCCTCCCTCACCATTATCTCTCACACCCCTCAGTCACTGCCTCTCCTCACCATTATCTCTCACACCCCTCCAGTCACTGCCT